AACCTGCTTGCATTCGGCAGGCTCTGGGGAGGGTCGATACCGAGATGAATCAAAGCCCCGATTCCTTCTGCTGCTGATGGGGAGCATGGATTTGTGCGCAAGGTGTGACAAAGAGAGAACAACCAGTAGGGGCCGGTAATGATGTGAATCGTTTGCTGCTAAAACCATTAAGCGGTGCTTTAATCCGGGAAAGAAAGGGGACCCAGTGAACCTCATTCCTCTCCTAGAACTAGCCTTATTGCCTGGCTGGCAATCGAAAGAGCCCGGTGGAGTTACGAACCAAGGAAATGAGTAATCATGGTTATAGAGAGGATGTACAACAAGCCACGTTGCTAAGCCCCGAGCAGGCTGACTTCTCTTAAGCCAACTCCCGTCACAGCAGAAGTCCCTGATGGAGAGAAAAGGTGTGCAATGGAACGGATATGGCTGTTTCCTTCTGTGTCTTCCTGATTCTACCTCTCACCAGCCTTGGCTGTCGCTCCTAGGTCAACTCAGCTGTCCTAGGGCCATTGGGAAAAAAAACCCACACAAACCAAAACCTTTAATAAATGGTGCTGTGCTTTTCTTGCTGCTGCTGCTGATCACTGTCATCTTAGACCTGCAGAGCTGGAAGGGACCCTACGGATCATCAAGTCTAGCCCTTGTCAAGGAGGCCCAGTGGGGAATCGAACTCCCAACTTCTGGATCTGCAGATGGAGATCTGAACGACATAATCTTAGAACTGCAGAGATGGAAGGGACTCTACGGATCATCATGGCCAACTCCCGTCAAGGAGGCCCAGTGGGGAATCGAACTCCCAACTTCTGGATCTGCAGATGGAGATCTGAACGACATAATCTTAGAACTGCAGAGATGGAAGAGACTCTACGGATCATCATGGAATTGAACTCCCAACGTCTGGATCTGCAGTTGGAGACTTGAACGACATAATCTTAGAACTGCAGAGATGGAAGGGACTCTATAGATCAACATGGCCAACTCCTGTCAAGGAGGCCCAGTGGGGAATTGAACTCCCAACGTCTGGATCTGCAGTTGGAGACTTGAACGACATAATCTTAGAACTGCAGAGATGGAAGGGACTCTATAGATCATCAAGTCTAGCCCTTGTCAAGGAGGCCCAGTGGGGAATTGAACTCCCAACGTCTGGCTCTGCAGTTGGAGACTTGAACGACATAATCTTAGAACTGCAGAGATGGAAGGGACTCTATAGATCATCATGGCCAACTCCTGTCAAGGAGGCCCACTGGGGAATCGAACTGCAAACGTGTGGCTCTGGAGCTATAGACCTAAACCACTGAGCTATCCAACAATGGTGATGATGATGATGAGTGGTGCTATAACCCTTGTGGAATAAGTGGTGTGAGCATCATAAAGATTCTCCCCCATCAACACGGTCTGTGATTCAGAGAGAGACCTACCTGTCAACAGGTTTAAAAATGAGTTGTATGTCTCAGGATAAAAGGTTCTGAAGGAATCAAGACAAGCCGTGTGTCACGGATGGTGGAGAAAATGCTAATAAGATTGTTTCAGAACCCAGCATTTTAAGGAGAAATGATCTGTGGGAGAGAGACCCTGAACACAGATACCTCTGCACAATGGGGGACCTTGTTTGATAAATGAGATTTCTTTCCTTCCCCTCTGACAACGCCATTGTGGTTTGTCTTTCACAAACGTGTGTGACATTCAGAATCTGTTTTTTTTTTTCCTTACCGCTCGGTTGCTATTGCTGAATAGACACTCCACCAGTGCAGGAGAATCGGTATTTTTTTTTTACAAAGCCACATGAAAAGATCTCAGTTTTGTTGAAGAGGGCATCTTGAAATGCACCATTGTTGCTTCTCATATTCTTATGATCCAATCTTCCTTTGAATTCGCCAACAAAACAACACACAAAGTGTGTCTTCTATGCAAAAAAGAGAGGACGCCTGCGATTGTACTTCAGATACTGAATGAAATACGAGTGTCAGCTCCTCCTTGGGCATACTGTGTTTTTAGAGTGGAGGTTGTTCTACCCTTAAAGATGAAATATTAGGATAGATAAAAATTAGATAGGTTCAGCTATTTAATTCTGAATTCAGTTCATCCTCACAAATGCCCTCTGAGATACATCAGGTTCAGAGAATGTGACAGACCCAAGATCACCCTGTAGGCTTCATGGCCAGGTAGGGATTTGAATCCAGATTTCCAATGTCTTAGATTGACGTTCTAATCTTTAGCGATAGGATTTTCAGATTTTTCCGGACTATCAATGCGTAATCCTCCATTCTGGGAGTTCTACTTTCCTTTCTGCTACCTTACGAAGCCCTGTATGTGGCTCACCTGGAAGAAAGGCCTAAATAAGAAAGCTCTGAGGCCTAGCTAGGCCAAGCTTCATGCAAGCTTCCTGTTCCTGCCCCAGTGCTAGCTGGGAGCTTTCTTTCTGAACAGGAACTAGGCCTAGGTAAGGCTCAAAGTCTTCTAACTAGGCCTTTCTCCCAGGTGAGCCACATTCAGGTACAGTGTGCCTCACTTAACGAGGATAATCCGTTCCAGCGAAATCGCTGCAGAATGAAATGCTCGTTAAGCGGAATTTAAAAAGCCCATTGAAACACACTGAAAACCCTTCAATGTGTTCCAATGGGCTGAAAATTCACCGTCCAGCAAAGATCCTCCATAGGGGTGGCCATTTTCACTGTCTGTAAAGCGAGGAATCCATCCTAGAAAACAGCAGGGGGCCATTTTGTTCACCCAGTGGCCATTTTGAAACCTGACAATCAACTGTTTTTAGATGCGAAAATTAGTTCCCGAGGTAGGGAACCGATCGTGAAGCAGATTTTTCCCATTTAAACCATCATTTTGCGATCGCTTTTGCGATTGCAAAAACCTAATCGTCAAGCAATTTCCTCGTTAAGCGAGGCTATCGTTAAGCGAGGCACGACTGTATTTGTAAAGCTCCTGCAAAGTAGGCAGAATCCCCAGGGTGGAGAATTGTGGTATTTGTAGTCCAGAAAATCCCCAAATCCCATCCCTACTAAACATTACATCATGCTTGCTCGCTGATGTTTTGCAACAAGGACCCTATGGATTTTGGAATAGGAGAAGCTTAGCTCAGAGAATGTCCCGTCCACACGTCTTTAAGTGACCCACCTTGCTGACCTCAAAAAGCACAGATCTGAGTGAAATGCAGCAAAAGGAAGACAAGAGCAACACACAAACGTAAGGAACCATGCAAACGATGGCCCAGATTTCAGCCTCCATCTTTTCATTCTCAGCAGAGGAAACAGTGTTCCAAGGGAGAAATAAATACATTTCAATGAGGTTGGAAATTAATTTAGCATTGGTTAATTTAATCAGAATCTGTCTTTGGCCATTCCAGTCATGCTTGAGTCTTCCTCGCAACTCTCAACCAGGGAAGGGGGGCGGAAAGCAATTCAGAAAGTAAACAAATCAATATTCAGAAGCTTTAAGGCATTCTGAATGTTCTCAACAAGAAGGAGATCTTATTAAAACACCAGCAGCACCCGGGCTCGGAGGCTATGTATGCCTGTCGGGATTATTATATTATAATGTGACCTCTTCCAAAGCTACTCACCTTGCTGGACTCTCAATTAAAACTCAAAAGGTCAAAGGGGTAATATTTGCTCATGAAAACCACGATGACGTCTTCGTGGTCCAGAACTGAGCAGCGCTGGAATACATTCTGACAACGCACACTGAAATGGACAGGTAAGTTCTAACCTTTTGACATACAGAGATGGAAAGCATCTGCAAATGAGATCTGGGGGAGTCTGCCACCAAAACCTAAAAACAAACAAATCAAGGAGAGCCACACACCCTCCTCCGATTTTTAAGTTACACTGCTGATCTGTCTTCTTCCCAGAGGCTCGCAAATTGCGAGGGCATCAATAAAACATTCCCGTTGTAATTGGGGAAGATGCAACTGATAACAGGGAGTAGATAGAAAGAGAAGGAAGTCAATTTATTGCCAGAGAGAGAGAAACCAAGGGACAGATGTGCTGGGACAGCTGGAAAGTGGGACTAAAAATTCAGAGACTGGATGCCACCAGAAACAGAATAATCTTTCTTTAAAAATGGCTCAGTGTCTGCAGACTTCTGGCTCATTGACCACCCCTAAACTTTGTCCGTTTCTGCTGCAATGGTGTGGAAAATGCTTGACTGATCAACTCTAAGGTAAACGGGATGCTCAGCCTGTTTCTAGAAGAGGTGCTCCCTCGGGTGGCGAACGGCATCTGTTTCATGAACAGTCACAGCCTCAGCCAAGTGTCTCACAGTTGACGTGCTTTGCTTTCTGATTGGTCAGTGGAATGTAAATGGAGGCTTGTGGTCCTGTGAATTTCCAGTGAATGTAGACTATCAACACTCACTGGCCTCTGAGAATTTTAGGGGAGGGTCTTCCCTTGGTCCCAGCATCTTCACAAGCACATCTGAAAAAGACCCAAGACAGAACATTTTTGGTGGCTGCTCCCAGTCTATGGAACTCCTTGCCTCATGAGGCTAGACTGTCTTTCTACCAGAAAGTGAAAGACCTTCCCCTTTAAGTTGGCTTTTAATGAGGAAAAGCTTTTGTCACACCTCTCAAGCCCTAAATATTAAAGCCAGAAGAGGCCAGGTTAAACCAATGGAGAACAAAACAACACACCTTGCTGCATGGATGAATGGTGAAGAGCGTCTCCCACCAGGACAAGACTCTACCTGGACCGTCACTTAATAGAATTTAAAGCAAAGTAGGAAAAGCAAAGAACCATCAAGTTAAACGAGGCTATTTGGATGCAGGACAGACTTTCTGTGACTGTGGGGGAATCCAATCAAAGCAGCACTTATGTGCATGCAATTGACGCCCCACCATGTGGCTGACATAGCGCTATTGAAGTAGACTGCTTCTGCTCAAGAATAGTCTAATTACTTTAACATTTTAATTTGTTTTTAATTTTACCTATATTTCACATACGTCCATAATTTTAAGTTGTGCAACGCTCTGATATGAAGAAAGAAAGATTGGGGTTTTTTAAGTGTAATTTATTTACAGGGTACTTTGTTGTCATCGTTATTGTTGTTTAGACTAGTGAGTCAGACATGCTGAATGATGGCATTTCCCAGTCCACTCGGATAGGAAGTACGGTAGAAAAGGCACATGGTTCTGTTCACCACAGGATTTGTGCATCAGTCGGCAACTTAAAGCTAACAAATCCTTCCACCACATTTTCAACAACGTCAGAGAGCATCACTCCAGCGAAACCAATGGCAAAATATTGCTGCTTTTCTCTTTTCTCTGGGAGAGCCGAGTCTAGTTTCTGAGCAGACTCTTCTTGTTGTCTTTTCATGATGCGTCCCGGCGTGTCAGAAAGCTTGCACGAGCCTTTCTCAGGCCACCCCGATGAGTCAAGGAGAATCATTTAGGCTGTGGTTTTGACTGAGGTGATAAGCCTAGAACCGGCCTGGGTCATTTCAGGCTGCCGGCAGACACTCGCATGACAGAATGCTCTTCTGGAGGAGGGCAAACAATTCCCCCAACCTAGAAAACTAGCATCTCAAGGATGGTCTCTTAGGACAATGTTTAGCTTTCTATATGCAGGGATATTTTGAAAGAAGAAATAGCTGATCATGTGGCTCTCGCCTTCTCATCCGAAATGGTACAGCCCAGACTCACGTTTAACACCTTCATGGCCTCAACTTAGATGTCAGTCTCCATTGTTCCATTAAGAAAACAACTGCGCCCAATAATTCACAACCTGATCATCTTCTTCTCTTATTAACTATCTTCTTATTACAGTAGTCCTCTCTAAACTACATCTCTTGGAGGGATCCCCAGTTACGGGCCAAAAGGTACTGGAAGCAGCAGCATCTTCTTCTCGGCTTCCTATCAATGCCGGCCATGCTTTATCCAGTTTCTGATCATCCATTTCTGCCCCGAGCATCTTTGTACTACTAATCTGAGACCAAAATTGGCTTCCTTGGACATTTCTACTTCTAGACACCGACCTGTGTCTCGGCTGATGATCGGACCATTCTGCAGGAGGAGAGAAGGTAAAGATGTCGTAGACTTAGGTTCACAAAGCGAATTTAATAATTTCCAGGAAAGGTACACACACACACACACACACACACACACACACACATAGAGGCACACAGGCACACAGGACACACACACACACACACACAGAGGAACACGCACACACATTCATTATGAAGACATAATAGGATATGACATTTCTATCAAGTCATTGATCATCTTGCTGGAGTTTATTACATTGATGCCTCCTGAAAAGGAATACTTTTATACTTGACAACACAAGCGACGGAGTTGGCTTCGCAACCAGTTGCCCTTCAACAGCTCTGAAGGGTCCGGCATCTTGGCAGGTCCCTTGACGAAGGCTCATGGTGGGTGTGTCTTCAGGTATTCGTTATGATATGATGCTCTGAAGCACAAGTAAGGGATCTGGTGACGGTCTGCTGAGTGGCTTGTTCAGACAGGAAACTGCAAGCTAGCAGTGGGGCAGCATTCTTTCTGAACTTGGGGGGGGGGAGCTTGCCCTACCTAGGTTACAAAGCCTCCCCGCATAGGCCTTTCTCCCAGTTGAGCCACAGTTAAATGTACATAGGTATCTACCTGTATTAGCTAGAACTGTCAGAATGGAAAATTACAGGATCTGTAGTCAAAAAATCAAAACGAAAAAACAAAAACGCAAGCCTATGCCTTCATATCATGGACCATTGCTGCTGAAGAGGACAGTATGGCTACATGTCCTTTTTTCAGGAGAAGGACCCTTTATTAGAAATAGACCATTTTCTTTCCAAAGATATCCTCTACCTGGACAACTATACAGTCCATGTCCCATGTAATGAGTAGGGAAACATAAGGACGGAGGTCAGGGACTTTGAACTTGTCCATCTACGTTGAGAAGTAGCTAGACAGCAGACTCAGTAGGAACATCGGTCCTGTATTTTTCTAACTCAAGCCAGATGTGCTGTAATTCTGTTTAAATAGTGAGAAAAGGTTCCAGTTTTCTATCTGTACAAACAAATCAATTTGTGTAGTTTGATGTACAGCTGTGTTCTCTTTTGTCCTCCTTTTGGGGTAATGTGCAAGTGGCCATCTGAGATGGGACTCAAATGTTGTCTTGCATAGTTGTCGACTCTATGTGCAACGTGCCATCAAAGAGTAGTTTACCACTGCCATTCCCAGTGTCATGGCCAAGCCAGGATCTGAACCCAGGTCTCTTCAGTCTGACACTCTATCCACTCCACCACTCAGGCTATCCTTGCACATATACCTGAATTCTTTAATTTCCCACTGAATAGGGTTATGATGTATCTATCTAATCCAACCTGCCAACTATACCTGTGTGAAATCCCACAGCCGTTGGGCTGGCCTCAGAATATCTTCACATTTCTTCAGGGTCGGTGTCCTTCCTTTCCCATCATCAATGAGGCATTTGGAGTCTGGCAGAAATGCTGTCGATCCCAATGGGCCCAACTGGAGGAGTCCTTCCGAGCTGTAACGAACAAGCTAGGACCAAAATCCAAAGGGAAACAGGACTGCAGTCAGGTTAGCTGTGATATATTTCTGACAACCACCCAGCCAATAAACCAACCAACCAGATGACTAACCACTCAACCAACCAACTAGAAAAACTGGTTGGTGAGATTTTCTGAAAACCAACCAACCAAATTGGTGAGATTTTCTAAAAACCAACCAACCAACCAACCAACCAACCAACCAACCAACCAACCAACCAACCAACCAACCAACCAACCAACCAACCAACCAACCAACCAACCAACCAACCAACCAACCAACCAACCAACCAACCAACCAACCAACCAACCAACCAACCAACCAACCAACCAACCAACCAACCAACCAACCAACCAACCAACCAACCAACCAACCAACCAACCAACCAACCAACCAACCAACCAACCAACCAACCAACCAACCAACCAACCAACCAACCAACCAACCAACCAACCAACCAACCAACCAACCAACCAACCAACCAACCAACCAACCAACCAACCAACCAACCAACCAACCAACCAACCAACCAACCAACCAACCAACCAACCAACCAACCAACCAACCAACCAACCAACCAACCAACCAACCAACCAACCAACCAACCAACCAACCAACCAACCAACCAACCAACCAACCAACCAACCAACCAACCAACCAACCAACCAACCAACCAACCAACCAACCAACCAACCAACCAACCAACCAACCAACCAACCAACCAACCAACCAACCAACCAACCAACCAACCAACCAACCAACCAACCAACCAACCAACCAACCAACCAACCAACCAACCAACCAACCAACCAACCAACCAACCAACCAACCAACCAACCAACCAACCAACCAACCAACCAACCAACCAACCAACCAACCAACCAACCAACCAACCAACCAACCAACCAACCAACCAACCAACCAACCAACCAACCAACCAACCAACCAACCAACCAACCAACCAACCAACCAACCAACCAACCAACCAACCAACCAACCAACCAACCAACCAACCAACCAACCAACCAACCAACCAACCAACCAACCAACCAACCAACCAACCAACCAACCAACCAACCAACCAACCAACCAACCAACCAACCAACCAACCAACCAACCAACCAACCAACCAACCAACCAACCAACCAACCTACCGTATTATAGTACCTTTAAGGCTCACACATACTGTAGTACCTTTAAGGCTCACACACTGATTTCTGTGTGAGCTTTCATGCATTACTTTTCCTTTTGCATGTGGCTACCTCTCTGAACACAACCAGAGTGATGAAGGCCACATTCACATGTAAATCTTGACCTTTGCTTTAGTCAATCTTTTTCCACCCTGCCACATAGGTGAGGGCATAGTTAAGGGTAGACGGGGAATTGTTCTCCGTATATGTCCTCCAATATATATTTTCATGAAGAACAGGAGTTGGATTTAGCCAGGAGGGTCTGCCATCAAGAATGATGGAAGAGCTCATCAAGGATGATGCCAGACATAGTATCACTTGATTATATCTGAGCTTTCCTTTCTGCTTATTGATCATGTACGGCAGTAGTTCCCAACTTTGGGTCCCCAGATGTTCTTGGACAACAACACTGAGAAATCTTGGCTAGCACAGTGGGAGGGAAAGTCTTCTGGGAGTTTTAGTCCAAGAACATCTGGGGACCCAAAGTGGGGAGCCACTGATATATAGCAAGAAATGCCAAACTGCCTTAAGAGGCGCTGTCTTCATTCCAGCCAAATGACTCATTGTTCTTGACAGCTGGGATCACTCGTCTGGGACTCTGTTAACTGGTGAGGACAAACCTGGAAGACTTCTATCATTTCACCACAATTTACAAAACTATTCTGGTGCAGCTGCAGCTTCCCTCACGGATGTTCAAGCCAGGAGCGTGAAAAATGTTGACAGCTAGCAGCAGGAAATATTAAACAGGCTTGTGAATAGATCCAACCCCTGATCTTCAAGTAAATATATACCATTGGCTGCTTCTGAAAGGTCCACCCCTAATCTGAAGGTGATCTGAACATGTGTAGAGGAAACTTAGACACATCTGCCTTCGGAGGTTTACTCAAATAATCTAAGGCTTTGGGGGCTAATGAATTTACAGGGCAGTCAGTTAGTCTTCAGTTTTATCCATCTGGGGACCTTCTAATCCTTACTGATCCATTGGAAATCACCCAGAGATCTACTGGGTAGAATCCAACCTACCCCATAGGCTCCATGCTTCCATGTACAGTATGTATGTGTTGTTTGCCATCACATTGATTCTGACTTATGGTGACCCTTCCCAGGGTTTTCAACGTAGAGAGCGGTCAACCATTCCCTTCTTCCGGGGGTGCCCTGGGACTGTGCAGCTTGCCCAAGGCTACACAGGCTAGCTGTACTCAAAAGAGGCATCTGGTTGGAGGTTCTATTCCCCCCTCCCCCGTGACTCCTTGACAGGGGCTGGACCGGATGATCCACAGGGTCCCTTCCAACCTGCAATTCTAAGATGATGACAATGATGATGATGCACACAAGACGGACTTTTGGGCAATAACAGAATCAGTCACAGCACTTAAAGAAGGAAAATACATGGATGCTCAAGGTGGCCCTTCCATGCAAACCTATAACACATTCGGCTAAGCTTTAGGTAATTGTCTGGTGGGTAAGAAGGTCAGACTTATTTATATATGACTGAATGAATGGCAACTCATTAATGTGGTTCCAGTTTGGATGGGAGATCAAAGAAAGCACTAAGATGATATTATGAAAGAGGGTTTACCTGGGGAGGTGGGGCATTGGCTGGCATTTAAATGATATCCGACTTTCATTAAACTATAAAGCACCGCAATAGAACTATAATCAGAAGAGATTTTGTTTTAAAGCCTCAAGCTGCACAGAATAAAAATACGTCTTGTACGCGTTTGAGCCTTTCAGTATTGGATAGAAACTGCTTTTAGTTTCACATGCTTCCTTTTAATGTTGTAAGCCACCTTGGGTGCTTTTTTTAAAGAGAAAGGCAGAGTAAACAATATTTTAAAGAAAGAAAGAAAGAAAGAAAGAAAGAAAGAAAGAAAGAAAGAAAGAAAGAAAGAAAGAAAGAAAGAAAGAAAGAAAGAAAACCTCTCAAGTTTTTCATATGGAAGGAAATGCAAAATCTTCTGAGCCTGATCCGGTTTTCGTAGTGTGGAAGAAAATATGTTTTACAGAAATATAGGTTTTGAAAAGAAAGCTTCCATTGTTGTATTTAATTGTGCGCTGAAAAT